AAAATCAATGTCTCCTAAATTTTCAATGTCCGTTCATAATTATAGGCAGAAAGGCTAAAATTTAGACAGAAGTGATTTTCTTCACAGACAAAAATAGCCCTGGATATAGGATAAAATAAGAGATGGATTCTTGTTCTTTTACACTTTGCTAGAAACCAGTCTTTTTTAGTTTTTGATCTTTTTGAGACAGGGTTTCCCTATAGTCCCAGCTGGCCTGGAACTCAATATGTAGACCAGGCTGGCCTGGATCTTACAGAGATCTAGTGCTTGGATTAAAGGCGTGCACACACCTGGCAAGAACAACTACACAGCTGGGGAACCAGCAACAAATTAAAGAATCTTAATGAAACTGACTTGCATATCATACTTTATCTCCAGCCATTGCTTCGGGCTTCATTTCGAAGACTGTAACATACAAATATAAACAAACAAACAAGATACAGATCAATCCTGAGAATCCATTGTAAAGGTTAGAAAACTGGAAAGAGTTCTCAGAAAGTGGGTAAGGGCTACCGTCAGCCATGGAGAATGAACTTGGTCATGACTGCCTGTGGATCCTAACAACAGCCTGGTTCTGTGCTGGGGTGGGTAGAACAGTCATGTTCTGAGGTAAAAGGCCCTTGTGTGCACACACCTGGCAAGAACAACTACACAGCTGGGGGACCAGCAACAAATTAAAGAATCTTAATGAAACTGACTTTCATATCATACTTTATCTCCAGCCATTGCTTCGGGCTTCATTTCGAAGATTGTAACATACAAATATAAACAAACAAACAAGATACAGATCAATCCTGAGAATCCATTGTAAAGGTTAGAAAACTGGAAAGAGTTCTCAGAAAGTGGGTAAGGGCTACCGTCAACCATGGAGAATGATCTTGGTCATGACTGCCTGTGGATCCTAACAACAGCCTTGTTCTGTGCTGGGGTGGGTAGAACAGTCATGTTCTGAGGTAAAAGGCCCTTGAACTCCCTTCACTGTGTGCTTGGCCTTTCCTTTAGTTAGTCTGTTCTGGGAAGCCCAAAATGATATGCAGAACCTTACCAGTAGAG